GTTGTGGCAAGTGGAGGTCAAATGACATATGCACCTCCTTCCTATCAAACTGCTCCTATGGTGGCTTCTGGAACTCCTGCTGTGGCCGTCCCTTCCCCAACACAGCCCCCTGCCGCTTTCTCTAATTCCTCACATCAGATTGCCTACCAGCAAGCCCAGCATTTCCACAACCAACAGCAGCAGCAACAACAGCAGCAGCTTCAAGTGTTCTGGGCCAACCAAATGCAAGATATTGAACAAGCATCTGACTTCAAGAATCACAGCCTTCCACTTGCAAGAATTAAGAAAATAATGAAAGCTGATGAGGATGTTCGAATGATATCTGCTGAGGCTCCAGTGATATTTGCAAAGGCATGTGAAATATTCATCCTGGAGCTGACTTTGCGCTCATGGATTCACACAGAAGAGAACAAAAGGAGGACGTTACAAAAGAATGATATTGCAGCTGCTATTTCGAGGACTGATGTCTTTGATTTTTTGGTTGATATTATCCCAAGAGATGAGTTGAAAGAAGAGGGACTTGGAGTGACTAAGGCTACAATCCCGGTGGTGGGCTCCCCGGCAGATATGCCATACTATTATGTACCACCACAACATCCTGTGGGAGCTCCTGGGATGATCATGGGGAAGCCAGTGGATCAAGCGGCAATCTATGCTGCTCAACAGCCTCGACCACCTATGGCTTTCATGCCGTGGTCTCAGCCTCAACCTCAGCAGCCGCAGCAACAGCAACAGCAACAAGAAGCCCAACATCAGCAGACAGATACTTAATATGTTAATGATTCTGGCCAAGCTGTTCTCAAAGCTATTTCCAGGCATAGCTTCTTAATTGTTAGAGATGAGTTTTAATACCGTTGGATTAGTTGGCGATTGTGATGCAGTGGATTGTGCAGTGTGCTAATGTGGTTGTATTGTGTATGTGCTTGTATTGCATCTGATTCGAAAATTTACCTTAATTGTGTGTTTATTATCTCGGCCCTTTCTTATTTGGCCTAGTTTGTTCTTGAATTAGTTTGCTTCAGCAGAGGATCAAGAGAGCTTTAGAAGCTTGAAAATTGACTGAAAGTATTTTTATAGTGCTTTTGTTTGTTATGATGCTACTGTGGCTGCTGTGAATTTTCTGCCCATTTTTTGCCATCATATCTGAACTCCATCTTGCATCATTGTTCTTTCTAGGTATTCAAAAGGTTGACTTTCATTGGGTGGTTCCATCTTCCATCGTGCCTGGTTGGCCCAATTAGCTATTTGTCTAGTGGTACTTCTCTTCTTAATATTGAAAGAATTTCCGAGTTTGAACTTCCCAAAAAAAAAATTGAAAAGAGAAGTACTACTAGGACTAGTTGGTTCTACTTTAGCCTAATTAACCGAAAAATCAAAAATCTATACCTTGAGTTAATTTCACAGAAGAATAAGAAGAATAAAATCGTAATTATATTTTTTTAATGTGAATTGGATGACTTCAAATCGATGTATTCATCATTTATGGCAGAAAAGTAGGAAAAACAAAGGTGAAACCAAGCAAAGATTCAAAAATCAAAATTCATTGAAGGAAAAATATATGGGGAATGTATATAAGTGAGTGATTTCCCCACTCCAATTTTAACCACTTACACTCCATTTTATAACTAAAAAATGAGTGTAAGTAGATAAAATTGGAGTGGGAACAGCAACAATATCTCGTCAATAGAATGCCCACCAAATATCACGACACATACGATAAATTCAATCTCAACGAA